TGCTTTCTGCCTCCCTGCCCGTGGGCGCCGTGAGTATTTCTGAGGGTAGAGGATGGCCCTCTCTCCGACATCTAGGTGTCTTCCTCGCCTTGCCACAGGGGGTGGGGCACGAGCCTTCGCCATAGGCCCGGCCCTGGACCCATGGCCTTAACCTGGTGATCTCATTGCATCCTTGATTTACGGTGATTTCAGAGCAGAGGCTGCCCAAGGCCACGTGGGAGTAAAATGCAGGAGGCTGAATTCAAATCCAGATGCTCTGTATTCCTCTGAGTCCTCTCTCCACATTCCATTTTGGAGACCGGGTTTCTCCTTAGCAGGAGTCTCATATTGTGCAGGTTTGGGGAGGTGGATGTAGGCGAGTCTAGAATCCTGATGCTTATTTTTAAGTTGTTGTTTTTAAATATGTTTTTATTGATTTTACAGAGAAAAGAAGGGAGAGGGAGAGAGAGATAGAAACATTGATGAGAAACATTAATACCCATGGGCTGCCTCCTGCACGTCCCCTACTGGGGGTCCAGCTTGAAACCCGGGTATGTTCCCTGACTGGAAGCCCAACGGTGATCTCTCGGTGTATGGGTCTGCGCTGAACACCGAGCCATCTCGGCTAGGCTGTTGTTTTTTTCTTTTTGTTTGTTTGTTGTTGTTTTTTTAAATATATTTTATTGATTTTTACAGAGAGGAAGGGAGAGGGATAGAGAGCCAGAAACATCAATGAGAGAGAATCATTGATCAGCTGCCTCCTGCACGCCCCCCACTGGGGATTTGCCCGCAACCAAGGTACATGCCCTTGACCGGAATCAAACCCGGGACCCTTGAGTCCACAGGCCGACGCTCTATCCACTGAGCCAAACCGGTTCTGGCTAGGCTGTTGTTTTTTAATAGAGAAACAACATATACTAAAAGCATTTATGGGGAGGATGAGCAGCAAATTCAGGAGAACTGCTGTCTCTTAGGATGGCTATGGAGGGACTTCAATTGAGTCATAATTGTTTTATTTCTTAAGCCGTGAGGAGGTAACCTAGATGTTTGTTATATTATTCCCTTTCTTGTTTGTCTGAAATACAATTTTAAAAGGAAAACATGCACATGGAAAATAAATTTCAGAGGATCAAGTGTACATAACAGAAAGGAAGTCTCTCCCACCCCAGATTTCTAGAATCCCTCACTAGAAGCCACTGTATCAGTTTTGTGTATCTTAAACATTTTGTATAGTAGGTACTAGTGTATATCTGAGTTTGTTTTGTTTTGGGTGTGTTGGTTTATGGTTTTGTTTTTGTTTTTTTGCACAAGTGTATCCTATTATATACAGTCAACACCTTAGATGACTTAATTTTAAAAATATATATCTTTATTGACTTCAGAGAGAGGGAGAAGGAGGGATAGAAACATCAATGATGAGCCCTAGCCAGTTTGGCTCAGTATATAGAGCCTGCAGACTGAAGGGTCCCTGGTTTGATTCCAGTCAAGGGCACATGCCTGGGTTTCAGGCTTGATCCCCAGTAGGGGGCGTGCAGAAGGCAGCCAATCAATGATTCTCTCTCATCATTGATGTTTCTCTGTCTCTCTCCCTCTCCCTTCCTCTCTGAAATCAATAAAAAATAAAAATAAAAAAAGAAACATCAATGATGAAAATCATTGATTAGCTGCCTCCTGCATGCCCCCATTTGGAGATTGAGCCCACAATCCTGACACGTGCCCTTGACTGGAATCGAACCCAGGACCCTTCAGTTCACAGGCCGATGCTCTATATACTGAGCCAAATCGGCTAGGGTTAGATGACTTAATTTTTAACCTCATTAAACGTAAAAGATCCATTAACTTCCATTAGTCCTGTGATCATCAATATAATTTCTCTGGCAAAATATTCCCAGGGTTGTTTCTGACATGATGAAATGTAGGTCATGGCTTCCCAGGCTGTGTGTTTGCCTTTTTCTTTTTTTACATCCTCATCTGTAGTATGAAAAAAATCTTCCCCAATTAACTCTTTAAATGGTGCAGGAGAAAAAGAATAATGACAAGTAAAGGACTGCTGGGAGCTGCTTTATCCTTTCCCAAACATTTTTATTCATATTCTCCAGGTAAAGTTCCACATAGCGCCCACTACTGCTTGAAATTAATTTATTGTATGTAGTGGAATATTGGTAAAGTGAGAGAAGTGGGGATTCATTTTCTCCAGTGCAGGAAAACGCCCAGCTTTTTTCTAGTGAAGTAGCAAGGGGAGAGCAGCTTATATGACGTTAGCAGGAAGCATCTGCACACTTAATCCTTATTTTACCTTTTCTAAAAGCACAAGATACTTTTGCCTCTTTAATAATTCTCCCAGTCACACGATCCTTACATGGGAGAGCTGGGATTCTAACCTAGGCACAGTTAACTTCAAAAGTCAAGCCAGATGGGAGGGGTTCCCAGGAGTGAAGTCATTTGCTCATTAAGCTATTCTGCACTTTTCTTTGACCATCTACCAGCCTCTTCTTCCCTGACTCTTGTCAATCCCCACTAAAACTGTGTCTGTTCGGCTCTGCAAACATCCTTGCTCTCGCCTGTCTCTGGTCCTCTATCTGGATCGCATTTCCCTAGCACCTTCCTTGAGTATCTCTTAAGGTGAAATTTCTCTCAGTGGTGTTGGCTTTGGGACAAATTTTCAATCAAACGGTGTTTGAGAGGGCTGATTCCCAACACCCTGGCCAACACTTGGACATCTGAAATTACCAACCTGAAAAGTGAGGAAAAAAAATCTGCTTGTTTCAGTATGCATTTTGGTGACTATTTGTAATGGTCTTGTGTTTCGAGATCTTCAGTCTGTATGAGCCGCTTCTATGCCACTATCCTGAGCAGGAATGTGGTTTTGCTCGTCCGTTGGAGAGGCAGTTGACAAGAGCTTAGACCCGTTAAGGTAATTACCTCAGATCGGGTCTAGCTGTTAAATAAGAAAGTGTGAGCCCAGACGGGATGGCTCAGTGGTCGAGGGTCAACCCATGAACCGAGAGGTCATTGGTTCGATTCCCGGTTAGGGCACATGTCCCAGCAGCAGGCTCCATCCCTAGTAGGGGCTGCAGGAGGCAGCCAATCAATGTTTCTCTCTCATCAATGTTTCTATCTCTCTATCCCTGTCCCTTCTTCTCTTTCTAAAATCAATTAAAAAATATGTTTAAAAAAGAAAAAGAGAGCGTTAGCTAAGCAGGGCTGTGGGTGGGGGGTCTGAAGGCGACACAAGGGACAGCCCCAAGGAGGCCAGGGCCGACGCGGACTTCGACGTCACTGCGGCGCGCCGCTTCCGGTTCCCAGCGCCGGTGCGAATGACTTACCCCTCGGTGGGGCGGGAGCCGGGCTCTCCGCGACCCCGGGAGCCCACGATCGCGCCGCGCCAGCCGGCAAGTCCGCCAGCACCAGCGTCCCACTCGCGCCTGGGACCATGGCCACTGACTCGTGGGCCCTGGCGGTGGATGAGCAGGAAGCGGCGGCCGAGTCGGTGAGTTGGCTTCAGCCATGAAAGGGTCGGAATCAGCTCTAGCCGGGGCTCAGCTCCATGGGAACGGACACTCCCTAGTTGGTCTGGGCCGGGTGGGATGCGCGCGGGGATGGGCATGGACCCTGAACTATCTTTGTTTACCCGCCTCCCATGTTATGTAAGCACAGGTGAGTGCTCCCATCTATGAAGAGCCCAGCCACCTGTCTATCTTCCTGGAATCCGGGTTGATCATAGATTGTTACCACTTTTGTAGGTGTTATTTTCCACCTCCCGATTCTGAGGGTTTTGGGCTTACGGACCGGGGGTTACTCATATCTGTGTGATTCCTCAGCTTGCACACAGATATGCCACTCAGTAGGCCTGGCAGTTAGTAAATCCTCTCCTGATCTGCTTAACTTTGTTCTGGGCCTGACACCCAGGAAACAAGATATGTGTTAAACGTTACTACGTAGAATTAATTTCTCTCACCCAGACACTCTGTATTCTGATATTGCCTTGAACCTTCTTTTATTACTTTTTTTCTCTGAATTCGAGAACAAGGACTTTGTCTTATTTTTTATAACTAATAAGTAATATGCACATAGTTCAAAGAGTCAAATTTTTAATTTTAAACACTGGTTCCCACCACCACCAATTTTTAAATTAGTAAGTGCCATACTGTTTTCCAAAGTGGCTGTACCATTGAGTGTCCCCAGAATGTTCCTCCTGACTGGCCAGATTTTGCAGAGAGGATCCTCAGATTTCCTGCCTGGAGGGTAGAGGTCTGACTAGTGTTAGTGGAGTGGGAGGAAAATGTGGAGGTCTCAGCACTCAGTATACTTGGTTCCATTTAATACTCCCATTCTCATCATGGCATCCCCTTCCTCTACGATAGCCCTTAGCTTATTCATTTCAGCATTTCTCATGCCTAGCCAGCGCTGTTAATTGAGTAAATAAGCTGTATAGTTTGTTTTATATTACATGGCTTTGTCAGAAACTTTTGGACATGCAATCTCAATATATACATATTAGATATTGCATGCTGTACTGTTTTGCTAAATATATACATTATAAAGCATACACAAAAGTAATAAAAGCTGAAATAAAGATAATGTTTTTAAATATTTTACTGTACTTCCTTTTACTGGCTTTGTACTTACATTAATGTCTCAAAGTACAATATATACATAGGGAAAAAATATTATTAGCCATTGCAAATATGAATATATATTTCAAATAGTTTAAATTTTTTTTACTAACTTGTTAGATCAGATTACATTGTTATTCTCTTAATCTATTAATATGCCTAAAAGAGTTTGTTAGGAGTCGGTAGTTTTGCCATTTTCTTATTTGCTTGAGTTTGCATTGTTAGAATTATCTTCTTTTTTTAAATATATTTTATTGATTTCAGAGAAGAAGGGAGAAGGGGAGAGAGAGAGAGAGAAACATCAATGATAAGAATCACTGATCAGCTGCCTCCTGCATGCCCCCTACTAGAGATCGAGCCCACAACTCAGGCATGTGCCCTTGACAGGAATCGATTCCGGGATCCTTCAGTCTGCACGCCAACGCTCTATTCACTGAGCCAAACCAGCCAGGGCATAGAATTATCTTTAAGACAGAACAGAAACTCAGAATACACCCTGTGACAATGAACATTCAGATATGATTAGCTCCTATAAATTTCAGCAGATATATACTAGCCATTTTACTTACCTTACAACAATATAACCCGGAATTAAATCTTGGGACCCTATTTTTAGAGCATTATGGTGGGACTCTACCCTATTATCTCTTTTATATTTTTATCATTTATTTATTTATCCTCACCTGAGGATAATTTTCCATTGATTTTTAGGGAGAGTGGAAGAGAGAGGGAAAGACAGAGAGAATCATTGATGTGAGAGAAACACCGATTGGTTGCTTCCTGGGCCCAGGGTAGGGAGGAGCCTGTAACCAAGGTACATGCCCTTGATGGGAATCAAACCCCGGACCCTTTGGTCTTCAGGCCAACACTCTATCCACTGAACCAAACCGGCTAGAGCTATCTCTTTTTTTAAATAACAGGTTTATTGAGGTATTACATACCATATACTTTATCCATTTAAAACATATAGTTCTCTGGTTTTTAGTGTATTCACAGAGTTGTGCAGCCATCACCATAATTTTAGAATTTTTTTTATCACCTCAGAAAGAGACTCAGTATGCCTTAGCTGTTACTCCCCATTTCCCTCCAACCTCTCACCCTAGACAACCACTAATGTACTTTCTGTCCGTTTAGATTTGCCTATTCTTGACATGTCATATAAATGGAATCATATAATATGTGGTCTTTTGTGTCTGGCTTCTCTCACTTAGCATAATGTTGTCAAGGTTCAGTCATGTTGCAGCGGGTATCAGTATTCCTTCCTTTTTATTGCCAAATAATATTCCAGTGTATAGATATACCACATTTTATTTATCTGTTCATCATGTCCACTGATGGACATTTGGATTCTTTCTACTTTTTGACTATTATGAATAATGATGCTATGATCATTTCATATACAAGTTTTTATGTGAACATATATTTTCAATTCTCTTGGGTACATATCTAGAACTGGCATTGCTGGGTTATACAGAAACTGTATGTTTAACTTTTGAAGAACTGTGAGACTGTTTTCCAAAGCAGCTGCACCTCTATCATCTTTACATTATTATTTTCTCTGAGATTAATATTATCTATGAGGCACTACTATGTAGAGATTAAGACCTGAGTTCTAGCTAGACATACTTGGAATTGTATCCCATGTCCCTCACTTACTAGTTATATGACCTTGGGCAAACTGCTTAACTTCTGTGCCTCAGTTTCCACATCTGAAAAATGGGGATAATCATAATAACTACCTCACTGAGTTATAGACATGCCTGATATAAGTGTTATATAAGTGATAGCTATTATTATTGTTATTTTTATCAATAATTCACAGTTTCTTTGCAGGAACCTTTTAAATTACTTGTCCATATTATGTGGATTAGTTAGTTGACCCCGAATAAGATTTGTGAATCTACCTAACCATGCACAGGTAAATTATAACCTCACAATAAAACTGAACACATGACTAAAAACACCTCTGTTGCCCTGGCCTGTGTTGCTCAGTGGTTGAGCATCAACTTATGAACCAAGAGGTCACAGTTCAATTCCTGGTCAGGACACTTGCCCAGGTTGTGGGCTCGATCTGAAGTAGGGGTAGTGCAGGAGGCAGCTGGTCAATGATTCTCTCTCATCATTCATGTTTCTATCTTTCTCTCCCTCTCCCTTCCTCTATAAAATCAATAAAACTATATTTAAAAAAAAAAACACTTCTGTTACTCTCTGCCACTATGAAACTCTCACTGAGGATCCCCACACGCATTGTATGACATGTGACTATAACATGCACAGTGCTAGGTTACTATATTTTAAATATTCATTAAGCTTCATTTCTTATTCATTGTAGATAAGAAAATATTAGATTCTGTTTATATTTATTTCCTCAGTCCCAGTGGCTCCTTTGTTCACCCTTTGTTCCATGGGAGATTTCAATTTAGAGGAGGGAGAACAGATAAGAAAACTTATGAATAAGATTCCTACTTCACCATTTTGCCTAAGAGCCTCCCTTTTCAGTATAGTTCACTTAACATTAAATCTTCTTTCTTATTTCTCAAGCATCCTTTTTCAGATAATGTTTGAATAAAATGCAGTGGGTAACTATAGTTTTCAATGATCTTAATGTATCTTGAAAACTAAAATGTTAATTAAAGGCATTGAAAAATGTAGATATTATAAGGTAGGTGTTTTTACTTTTTTGCCTTTTGGTTAACTTTCAGAATTTTAAGGTGGTTTCCAATGAAGACACAAGAGAAATTGGTTTTTCATCTTTGGTCCAAATAAATAGAGCAAAGGAAGGTATCTGAACTAACTGCTTTCAACATAAGTTTCAGTGTTCAGTTAACTCACTGAAGTGGATAATAGAAACTTGTCCTGCTGCTTTTGCCTTATGGGCTTTGAGATCCTTGTAGTCAAATGAGGGCTATGTTTTTAGATTCTGCTGGAACCTCTCCAGAATTCTGATACATTTATATTAAAATATCTATTTGTTTCATTTACATTGTTGCTACCAACTTTCACTACACATTGTATTTTATTTTTCTCACCCTACACAGTGTATTTTAGCTATTTTAACTACTTACTCTTAACTTTGATATGAAAAATCTATCAACAAAAGAATAGTTTGTCCTCTTGACACTGAATATTTAAATGCTTTGCAGTGATGGATATTTCCTAATTCTTTTATACCTCATTAACTTATTCAGACCTCAGCCCTAACATTTAAGTAGCTCTTATGACCCTAGGAGTGAATACTATTAACCTTACTCTTGTAAATATTGCCAGTAAGTCAGTCTCTCTCTCCTTTAACAGCCCTGAATACTGCTGGACTTAACCTAGGTTCATTGGCAGGATGTGAAGGAGGAATACTTTAGTGAAGACTAAAATAACGGAATACCTAAACTATTTATATATTATGTACTGTGCTGATTGCTTCATTTCATTACCTATTAATGTGTTCTCTATTCTTCAGAATTAATGAAGATTTTTACTGCTTTATGATGATTTTTTTTTGCCAGTTTCCTTTCTTGCCAGGCTCTCTAGTGTGTTCCCTCTTCCCCACAACACCAAAGCAGACACCAGAAACCCTCTTTTCAGTTTCCATCAGAAGTTCCTCTATTCCTAACTAACCACCCATTAAAACAAACAACTTCTTCATTCCTCCCTTTCCAAACCCTTCTGAGATTTAGAGGAAAGACAGAAATGAACCTCAAGACATAAAGAACCTCTGTTGGTGATGCTTTAAGAAATACCCTTTATTATGATTTTCATACTTTTACCCTGCACTAGGTTGCCTTTGGCACAATTTAATATTTTAAGAGTGCCGAAACCGGTTTGGCTCAGTGGATAGAGCGTCGGCCTGCGGACTGAAGGGTCCCGGGTTCGATTCCGGTCAAGGGCATGTACCTGGGTTGCGGGCACATCCCCAGTGGGAGATGTGCAGGAGGCAGCTGATCGATGTTTCTAACTCTCTATCTCTCTCCCTTCCTCTCTGTAGAAAATCAATAAAATATATTTTTAAAAAAAAAAAAATAAAAAAAAAAAAAAAATATTTTAAGAGTATAGCACCTGCTTAGTATATCCAAAAATCAATTAAAAATAACTCCTGTCTTTAAGGTATTTTTCTTTTTTCAGCTTTATGGAGGTATGATTGACAACTAAAAGGGTATTTTCATTCTAATAGGGGAAATAAATCCTGCCAGGATATCCCTAATTTACAGTGTCTGATCAAAGTCCTGATAATTCTTTCTTTGAAATGTCTTTGCTCTGTCCCTTCCTATCTATTCCCACTTCAGCCTGCTGCGTATTTTGATTACACAGCATGCAACAATCCTCCAAGCTGTTCCAACTTTAAAATATCAGCACAAGGCGACCTGAATGTGAGTGAGGCTGCATATCAGTATGCTGTGGTCCTGTGGCTGAGACATATCCTTGTAACATAACTGATTCTTAATTACAGATGCATTTTCCAAAATCTCTTTAAATTTCCTCTTGTTTGGAATATGAGAACATGACAACTCAGCCGATATTCTATTAAGAGGTTTTTGTAATCAGAAAATTAAGCAAATTCATAAATTCATTTTCTCTAGAGATTGTAATTAGGAATTTAGGGATTATAATTAGGGATTACAAAAGGAGCCCAGCAGAACAATCTAATGAATAGGTCTTGAGAGTGGCTCATGTTTCCCCAGCTACACTGGGGAGGCTCTGTTGATTTAAAATCTTATACTTGATTTTCCTGACACTTTCCATCCTCCCCTATATTCTCCATTTAGTTGAGCAACTTGCATCTTAAGGAAGAGAAAATCAAACCAGATGCCAATGGTGAGTAACTAAAAGCTAGTTAGTTACAAATGAGATTTATTCTAGTATTTCTGTTTTGACATAACTGTCTGGAAAAACATTATATATGTAACCAGACCAGGGGCTGGCAGATACTGGCAGTCATTTGATTTGGAAATCAATAACTGAACTGTTTTGTTTATATTGTGTTTAATATAAGCATGATGATGCCTAATTGGCTTATACATTATTAAATTTATTACTAACCATGAGACTGTACTGTCCAAGATTGTTATTTTTAAAAATAATCCTCAATTTGAGATGGACTAGACAAAGTATGAGCAATCTGAGAGTTAACCTATTATAATTATTCTGAAATCATGTACCCCAAATCTAAGATTTCCATTAAAATTTTGTTGATGTACTTATTATAAGGAAAAAATTGTAACATTTACCTTACAGAATTCACTTACAATCTGTTTTGTGTGTATTTTCACAAAACTACAGCAGTGTTTGAGTATAAATTTCTATTAATCAGCAATTCTATTAATCAACAATTCATATACATAGACTTAATAGCATTATTGTATTCATATAAGGATGAAATTCGACTTGCATAGGTGTTGAGCATCAAGGTGATTTCTGATCAATGACTTCTGTAATCATTCTACAACATTTCATAAATATTGATGCTCTGAGGGAAATTAACATTAGTTTTTGAAGTCTGGTGAGAGGACTAAAGGATTAAAATATAAGCTACAGTGTTTCATACCTTTGTTTATGTAGGAACCATAAAATGTTTTTATCTGGGCTTGGTTTCCTCATTGTTTTTTTTGCTCCTCAGGCCTTTACATTTCTAGTGTCTAGTAGAATTTGAATGATCTCAGCTGTTGGGTTTGGGATGTGATTTTGAATACCACTTTGTGTCTGATAAAGGTGCTGTTGTCAAGACCAATGCTAATGCAGAGAAGGCAGATGAAGAAGAGAAAGGTAACACAGCCTGACAGCTACATACTAAGATTCTATAGCTTAAGAGGATGGATTGTTAAGAGGCTTCATTTATACACCCAACTTGGCTTTACTTTAATGGGAATCACAGTGCTAACATAGTCGTTGGTGAAGGAATTCTAATTGTTTACGCTTTACAGAAATTTTACTTTGAAAAGTGATGAAGTTCAGCAGCAGCAGGAAATATTCCCGGAATGATTATTTTTTACAAGGCAATAGAAAAGAAATTTTACTGCCTTTGGAAAAAAGAAAAAAAACCATTTAAGTTGCATCCTATTGTCTAATAAAATTAAACTTAATGACATTTCAATATATTTAAGATGCAAGCAGCTTATATGTTATCAAGATACAGATTTTAATTTTTTTTTTAAATATATTTTATTGATTTTTCACAGAGAGGAAGGGAGAGAGACAGAGAGCCAGAAACATCGATGAGAGAGAAACATCAATCAGCCGCCTCCCGCACATCCCCCACTGGGGACGCGCCCGCAACCCAGGCACATGCCCCTGACCGGAATCGAACCCGGGACCCCTCAGTCCGCAGGCCGACGCTCTATCCACTGAGCCAAACCAGCTTCGGCACAGATTTTAATTTTTTTTCATGATTGTGATTATATTTATTAAGTTAATCATCTATAATAATAAAAGTGTGATATGCTAATTAGACCGGACGTCCTTCCGGATATCCTTCCTTCTGGACAAAGCCACAGTGGGCAGGGGCCACGGCAGAGGCCCCCAGTGGCAGCAGCGGCCGGGGCCAAGACCCTTGCACAAATTTTGTGCGTCGAGCCTCTAGTTTTGTTTTTTTTTTCTGTTTTTTTTTAAAAAATATATTTTATTGATTTTTCACAGAGAGGAAGGGAGAGAGATAGAAAGTTAGAAACATCGATGAGAGAGAAACATTGATCAGCTGCCTCCTGCACATCTCCCACTGGGGATGTGCCCGCAACCCAGGTACATGCCCTTGACCGGAATCGAACCTGGGACCTTTCAGTCCGCAGGTCGACGCTCTATCCACTGAGCCAAACCGGTTTCGGCAAGTTTTAAGATTATATTAAGCACAAATTGGGGAGAAATATTTGGGTCTAGATAGGAGGAAATATCTCAGGAAAGGATAGTTAGGAATAGAGTTCTGAAGAAGAATATGAGGCCCAATGGATGCTATGAGTATCACAATCTTTCTTGTTAATAAAACAAACTAATCATATTTATAAGTAAAAACTATGATATACCTTGAACTAGATGTCCCAGTACAGTCCTGGCTGGTGTGGCTCAGTTGGTTGGGCTTCATCCTGTGCATCAAAAGGTTGCTGGTTCAATTCCAGGTCAGGGCACATGCCTGGGTTTTGGGCTTCCTCTCCCTTCCTCTCTCTCTAAAAATCAATATAAAGTATTCTTTAAAAAAGGGGGAGGGAGTCCCAGTACAAATATTACTGCATAAGGGGGGTATGAGGAGGGGCAGGAGGGGGTCAATGGGGGAAATAAGGGGACATATGTAATACTTTCAACAATAAAGAATTATTTTTTAAAAATATTACTGCTTAAAATACCAATGGCAGTTAAATTCAGATGGGCTTATGGTAGATTTCATGGACTTCACATTATTTGCTCTTTTTCCTGACAGAGGACAGAGCTGCCCAGTCCTTACTCAATAAACTCATCAGAAACAACCTTGTTGACAACACAAACCAAGTGGAAGTCCTGCAGCGGGATCCAAACTCCCCCCTCTACTCAGTGAAGTCCTTCGAGGAGCTTCGGTTGTGAGTATTTGTTTGCTTTCTCACTCTCCCCTTTGTGTTTAGATAGCTAGCCTAGACTTGTTATATTTTTTATCATAGTAGAAAACTTTTAGCTAAACAAATTTAATTTTAAAACATTAGCTGCTTTGAGCTATTTAGTAAAATTTCCAGGTAATCTATAAAAATGTTATCTGCCCTTACACATTGGACTCAGTTCAGCACAGTTCAAGTTTGTTAGTTCTAAGCTGTGGGTAACACCAGTTAAAAAGAGAAAAAAATTCCCCATATATTTGGCTTCTTTCCTCAACCAAAAAGACTGACTTGCATCATTAATTGTTTTTCCAGGAAGCCACAACTTCTCCAGGGAGTTTATGCCATGGGCTTCAACCGTCCATCCAAGATACAAGAAAATGCATTGCCTTTGATGCTTGCTGAGCCGTATGTGTCCTGACATAACCCTATTCCATTTTTAATTTTCCATTTTAAAACTTTTATTTAAAAAAACTACACTAATAATATATGCTAATTTTAGAAAAGTTAGAAAACAATAAAAAAGAAAAAAATCATTTGTAATCTCCTTCCTCCACATACTATTCACTTTTTTTTGAGAGAGGAGGGAGAGAGAGAGAGAGAGAGAGAGAAAGAGAGAGAGAGAGAGATGGAGAAACATCGATGTGAGAGAGGAACATCAATTGGTTGCCTCCCACATCTGCCTCAACCAGGAATCGATCCTGCAACCTGAGTTTGTGCCCTGACCAGGAATTGAACGCACAGTCCTTTGGTGCATGTGACAACACTCCAATCTACTGAGTCACACTGGCCAGGGCAGACATTTACATATAAACTTTTATATGCTTTTAAATATTCATATGATCATCTTCCTATGTTGGGAAATACACATTTATATCATTCATATACAGTTCAGGGGTGGGAAACGTCCGTATGAGGCCCATGAAATTATTTGGTCTGGCCCTGCCATGCCATTAGGGGTTAAACATTTAACCAAATATAGCAGGCTAATTTTTAAGGTGATAATTTTGTATGGCCTACGAAAGATGTTATAAATATCCAAATGGCCCTTGGCAAAAAAAGGTTCCTCACCCCTGATATACACCATGATTTCATTATATGGATATATAAAGTTTATTGTGTCAAATATATAGGCTAAAAACTGTTCTAGGAGACCAGAATGGTGCAGTGCTTCTCACACTTTCATAGCCTATGAGTCTCATAGGAATTTATTAAAATGCAAATTCTGATTTCAGTAGATTTGAGGTGGGATGGAGGTTCACGATTTCTAGTAAGCTATTTGTCTAAAAATACATATTTTAAGTATTTTCTCAAAGTGTTCTTTGTTCTGTGTCATAATAATATTACTTCAAGATGGAAATCTTTTTTTTTTAACTTGAAACGTTATTCATTTTTATTAACTGAAAGGATACTTGAGATTTAAGCTACTGAACAGCTCGTTTTCTTGTGCAGCCCACAGAACTTAATTGCCCAGTCTCAGTCTGGTACTGGTAAAACAGCTGCCTTTGTGTTGGCCATGCTCAGCCATGTAGAACCTGCAAACAGATACCCCCAGGTAAGGACTTGGTGAATTTGGGTTTTCTGCTAATGCATAGCTAGAAGGGAAGTGCCATTTGATGGATTAAAAGCCATGTCTTATATTACCTTTTACATAAATTAGAGCTCCTTAAGTTGGGTACAAACAACATAGTTGATCTAGTAACAAAAATCCTCTTCTCTTCCATGGTTTGCCAATTCTAGGATACTACTGATAGGCTTGGCTCCTTTACTTGCAGGAAAAACCTCCTTTATCTACAATTATTCATCCATTAAAAAGTTGAGAACTTTCTGAGAAAGTTAAAAGGAAGCTAATCTCCCATTTGAATTTCAGATCCTTGCTCACTTGTAGGTTTTGGTACTCTACTGGCCAGTAGCTGTTTCCAAGTGTCTTTACCCAGCCAGAGTTCTGGCCCCTAAGAATTCTACCTTGTGACTTTGCAGCTTAAAGAATCAAATGGTGTACACTTAATATATCTTTTCCTTCAGCCTTAGCTGGAAGAATAACTAAATCCTGATGTAACTCCCCATTGCAAAAGAGCTACTGTCTTGACTTCTCACTCTGCACTCTTTCTACCAGTGTCTGTGCCTCTCCCCAACGTATGAACTTGCCCTTCAAACGGGAAAAGTGATTGAGCAGATGGGCAAATTTTACCCAGAGCTGAAGCTAGCTTATGCTGTTCGAGGCAATAAATGTGAGTATGAATATGTAATCCTAATTCATTAAGTTAATAATTTTTTTTTAAATTTTACAGTTAAACTAATACAATGAACACGTGTACCCTTCACCTAGATTTGAAAACTTAACGTTTTGCCATATTTGCTTTATGTGTATATAGATATTTCTGGTGAATCATTTGAGAGTAAATTGCAGACATTGTGGCTTTTTATTCCTAATACTTTAGTATGCATTTCATGATGAAGACATTCTTCAGCATACCCACAATATCCTTATCACACCAAGAAAATTAATAGATTCTCTAATGACTAATACCCAGTCATTTTCATTTTACCCCAATTGTCCCAAAAGTGTTTCCTTATGGCTCTTTTGTTTTGAATCAAGATTGAGGGAGTGTATCCACATTGCATTTGGTTATCTCCTTACATTTCTTTCAATCTAGAATAGTCACTTTACATTACCTTTGACTTTTTGAACACACCTTTTTGCTTATAAAATATTCCAAGTTCTGGATTTAATTGCCTAATTTCTTTTTAATGTCATTAGAAGAACAAAAATGTTCTAGAATGTTCATGGCAGTTAACTCTGGTAGTTTATTTTTATTTTTTACATATTTTCTACCTTTGTTTTACAACAAACTGACAATATTTAAGTAATTTAAATTTTCTTAGAAGTTTGGTTGAGTCCTATGGATCTTTAACACAAACTTCTAACTTTATGACTCACAGAAATCTACTCTGTGTACAACATCCTTTTGTGAAGTAGTTCTGAAAAGTAAGATAATAAAACTTAGTGAAAAATTATCATAAGATGTTTAAAATGTTAGTTTGGATTTGAGTTAGAATGATAGGATTTTGAATAATTATTTTATGAGGGGCAGTAATTGTTAACTGAAATTTTAAAAAAGGCAGCATTTGCTAGCTTTGAATTGATTCACATTTGGGCAAAATTTTGGCTGTGACTAGAGGGAAATTGTTTATGTCTGGTCAAGAGTACAAATAAGTGCTAAAATTTGAATCAATAAATACCATCTAATTGAAAATGAAGAACCAAATTCTCAATTTCATACTGCACAGTGCCTAGAACGTGTCATGGTCTGCCAGGCCTAGTCTGGGAAGCATTTTAAGGGAGGTAGATTGTGTTTGAAAAGACAAAGTCTTTCATAATGAACCCTATTTATTGATCTGGGCATGAGGCATATAAAAGCAACTGACTTGTTTGATGTGAATGCTAGAAGAGGTAAGGAGCGGAGTACACTAGAGTGAGGAGAACTTTGAAAATGTCTATTATGAGGAAATGCAATCCTCATCTAGAGGGAACCATGCTGACAGAGAAGAAATAAAGATAACAGGTCCTTGGCCTGACCAGTGTTCTCAATGGTTAGAGCATTGGCCCGTGCACCAAAGGGTTAAGGGTTCAATTCCCAGTCAGGGGCGCTTACCTGGGTTGCCCAACCCCAGTTCAGAGCATGCAGTTGGGGAGGGTGCAGGAGGCAATTAGTCAAGTTGTCTCTGTCACATCAATGTGTGTCTGTCTGTCTCTCTTTCCCTCCCTCCCTTCCACTCTCTAAAAATCAATGGAAAAAATGTCCTCCCTTAAGGATTAACAATACAAATTTAAAAAGGTAACAGATTTTTGAAAGATAATATAAAATGGGAAAGAATGCCACAAAGAGTTTTTTTTATCTTCTCATTGTTTCTATCCTTAGTATATCTTTTCAGCATTGTCTTTTCTGTGTGTGTCCATGAAATATTGTAGTGATATCCTAACCTTTCCTTAAAATATTAATGCAGACATCAAAAAAATTGTATTAAAATACATCAAAGCTTTAGAATTTCTCAAAAAGGAGAGCTGGTTTGCCATGGGCATACCTATGAAAAACATCTTGTCTCCACAGTGGAAAGGGGTCAGAAGATCAGTGAGCACATTGTCATTGGCACCCCTGGGACTGTCTTAGACTGGTGCTCCAAGCTCAAGTTCATTGACCCCAAGAAGATCAAGGTGTTTGTTCTGGATGAGGCTGATGTGATGATAGCTACTCAGGGCCACCAAGATCAGAGCATCCGCATCCAAAGGTAGGCCTCTGGATTGGGAGGAACTTCTCAGCCTTGTACCGGGTTCTCTGCTTCAGAAGCTTGAGAAGCCTGTGATTGATGGGCCATGTCGGCACTGACCGTACTCCCGCCTGGGTCGAGGAAAAGACTTAGGAATCTAATGCCACCCTGTCCCTGCCCCGTCTGGTCCTGCCTCTTCCCCACAGTGCTCCTCCACCTCTGCCACCTTCCAGGGGACATAGCCCATCCAAGCCTGGGGAGGCTGTGCTGCTGCTCATTCCAGTGAAACGCTCGGGCTCGTGCCAAACACCTGGGCCTTCCCTTGCAGGATGCTG